CACCTTGTACAATAGTGTTAACATCAGAAAAAGGTACACTTGGTTAATGATTTGTGTATCGTACTATTCGATATCTCGACGGAATGAAAGTAGATTTCATAGATCTTTGGTGTACGTTCGAAATTAATGATATGACTTGTGGTTGCACATTTTCTTCAACAATTAACTGATGAACTGGTATTTTCAGTTATATTATGAAAGCACAAATGATGTCAGTATAAAAAACAGGATAACATTTCAACGGCTACTACGATGTCACAATCACTATGATATGACTGTTATTTTGAGATATCTTAATGATATGTAAGTTTTGTTCACTATTTGTTATTTCAATTATACAACAGTCGATAATACTTCATGAATGATCTTATATCAGGAATTATTGTCTAATCATTCATGTCATGCCTACTAGAAAATCAATTATACTTTATTTATTATTTAATTGTATGAAATTTATCAATGAAGAAGAGAAAGTAATGCAATAACTGAAATAAATAAATAGAATTCAGAGATGCCAAATAAGGTTTTCCTCATCTTCGTTTCTAAATGATATAGGGGAAAATCATATAAAAACCATTTTATTTTTTTATAAATTTTGTGGTTTCGGTATGTCATCCGTGGACGGACAGAAAGTAGTTGGATTTTTCAAATCAGTGAGTTATTCTTTTGGTGTAGGCAATTCTTGGATATAGTCAAAAGGTTCAAAGATTGAAATGTAATTCACCATTGAAGTATGAAAGCTACTATGGAAATATCATGGGTATTGTGTAGCTCTGTCTGATTTTTCAAATTCGTTATTAATTAGGGTAATATATCCGACATCGATTCTGAAATCTTGAAAAAGTATAGTCACTTATTTACTAATAATTGATTTCGCAAGATTGAAAAAACGACTTTTTTTCTACGTTTTAAGCCAGTTACAAATACAACTAGGATGGAAACTAAGATAATAATAGGTTTTGCCACCTCTAAGGACAGAAATCAAGTTTGTTAACATGCTATAAAAAATTATCGGAAAGTTATACAGCTCGAATTGAAAGAATGTCATCAATATCTTGATGTTAGATAATTACACTAAACTACAGGAAGGGGAAGAGATGATATATTAATTCACTCACAGTGCTCCAGTTGAGTATAAGCATAGTTCTTTTCGTACAACTTACCAACTTCAAGAAACTTCTTCTTACCTAATACATCCAGTCTGATTTGATTCGTGATAGGCTCTCCAATACCATTATCAGCGGTACAGAGATAGATTCCTGAGTCTGTTTTATGCAAGGTGATGATCTGCAGTGACTGATCTAGCTTGATCCTATACCTTGGTTGAGTACCATCAATCTATAAAATAATAATAATAAAATAAAAGCCACCCCTTTCGGAAACGCAATTTTTTTATGTTCACGATAAAAAAAAACAATAATTTGATCCCTGATTCGTATTTTCACTACGTTAAACTGTCCTCAGTTAATGTAGGTATTTGGAATTTACAGAAAACAATTTTGATGTGCCAAAATCTTGCAAAGACTTGAACATATTGGTAAAATAATATGAAATTTTTATTGTATTGGATTGCTGTTTTTTATGATTGGAATATGCATTTTTTTGCAATTCCTTTATTAGTTGGTTTATTGTTCTCACCATGAGGTCATCTTTGCTCCACCTGATCCTAGGGTTAGGATTTCCAGAAATAGCACATCTCAAAGTAGCCTGGTCTCCTATGAGACCTGTAGTTTCCGGCTTGTATTCCATGACATCTACCTTGGGAGGTCGATCTAAGGAAAACATATGTTGAACAGAAATCGTAAATGTATATGAAGTACAAAAAACCCATCAGTATCATCTTCATAATCATTCAATAATAATCTGAGATGGTTTCAGACGGTTCATATAGGTTCATCATTACCGAAGAATCGTCTATACAGGGTCGTGGTTCATTACTTATTAGAAATCTTTCAGATATAAAATCTTGAGCTCAAAATATAAGATTTAACAAAAATCATCTAGGTAAAATGCATCTCTTGTCTGTTACAGGGTGTTTTGATATTCATTATATTCAATAATTTTTTTTCAATATGAATTGGAGTTTCATTTGTCTCTAATGCATGCAATCCAATGATCCAAAACAACTACATAGATAATATACACATCAAAATCAAAATAATCGTGCAGCTTCATGTTCAACTTGAAATATCTCGAAAAAAAGGTCTATGCATCGATCGATACGTATGAACGAATACTATTGATTAGATTTCGGAAGGATGTAATTCATTTTGTTCTGTCGTGTGGCATTAGCCAGGAAAGTAGTTGTTTTTCTCTCGTCATCTACCATTGTTGTTAATTTTATGAACATTTGTGGGAAATGACTTTGTGCATTGTGGCTGTATCGTACTTGAAATTACGCCAGTATCCGGGCAATGAGCCACTCCCACTTTTGGGTATTTCAGTTTTGTGGAGTGATTCTTTCCTTCTATGTGGTCTAGATGGCGTTAAACCCGTTTGGCACACCTGTGCCCACGGGAGATTTCTGACACCATAAATAATGCCGATTGGAATTCGTTGGGCCAGGTAACGCTTAGCCGGCGGTCTTGGTACTGCTATAGCTGGAGACTACCCTACACTGACGAGAGTCAAGGAGCTCGAAACCGGCCTGTAAGTGTCGGTGCGTTAGCCTGGTTAAATCGAAATCATTCGGCATTACGGAAAGAAACACTTGCATTAGTATTCGTTCATACGTATTGATGCATAGATTTCGGGATGAGGATGTAATTCAATGTTCTGCGTGGCCTTAGCCAGGAAAGTTGTTGTTTGTCTCTCGTCATCTACCATTGTTGTTCATTTTATGAACGTTTTGTGGAAATGTCGTCGAGCTTTTTTGTATTCATTTACCCTGTATATAGGCTAACCGTCTAAGATTTTTCTCATTTGATGATCTGTCTTTCAATTCATTTGTATCTGTTGGAATCCACAAAATAACGTAGTTATATAATATGATGTTTCTGTTAGGGTTACTATGTAATATAATAAGATGTCAGAGTGTTGTATTAAATAATACGTCAGCTTTATATTAAAGTATTTTTATACAGAGTGACCCATTTGAAAGCGGGCCACCCCTGTATCTCACGTAATCGTTGAGTAAGGATCATGAAATTTGCTGGAGCGAGATATATACCAAAAATGCACTCTATAACCAAGTGGGGTCATCTTCAGTGATAAACACTGCTCGCCAACAGCCATGGAACCACCCCAATTTCCGGAAAATGATATTAGGGGTCAAAATAGGTTGAAAATCACTTCGGATTCGGAATCAGGACGCCCAATTCTCTAACTCTTCATATTTTTCCTTGAAAATTTTCAGTTCTGAAAAATTAAATTTTGTCGCACTTTTCACGGAAGCACCCCCGTATCTCACGTAATAGACTTTATCTTTGGACTTTCCGTTCCTCCTGCAAATTTTAGAACCCTACCTCAATAATTACGTGAGATACGGGGGTGCTTCCATGAAAAGTGCGACAAAATTTAATGTTTCAGAACTGAAAATTTCCAAGGAAAAATATGAATAGTTAGTGAATTGGGCGTCCTGATTCCGAATCCGAAGTGATTTTCAACCTATTTTGACTCCTAATATCATTTTCAGGAAATTGGGGTGGTTCCATGGCTGTTGGCGAGCAGTGTATATCACTGAAGATGACCCCACTTGGTAATAGAGTGCATTTTTGGTATATATCTCGCTCCAGCAAATTTCATGATCCTTACCCAACGATTACGTGAGATACAGGGGTGACCCGCTTTCAAATGGGTCACTCTGTATATTTTCTTGAATAAATGAGACCCGATCAAGAAGACTCCGTGGTTAGATATATTTCAACAGGTTATGGGCCCAGATACAGGGAGATAAGTGAACGGAGAATAGAGTCTTATTAAATTTTTATAATTGGTCGGTGTACGGTCATAACATATCAAGCACCAACACTATTTCTACTCCATATCCAGCTTCGCGGATGATAGTACCCTCCATACCGCCTTCTCTTCCAGGGCTCCAATACCAGCCAGGCAAATCAGAAACGAACGAGGAAGAAATGTTGACAACATAAATATAGACTTGGCCAGAATTCTCGAATGGGGATCCAATAACTTGGTAGATTTCAATGCAAACAAAACACAAGCATGCCTTTTCTCAGGAAAAGCCGATCTCACTGTTCTCAACATAAGCTTGTCAGGAGTAACCATACATTTGAAGACATTCATTTCGATGCTTGGTATTACTATCAGCAATAACCTTTCTTGGGAAAATCACGTGAGATCAATTGCTAAAACTGCATCCCAAAAACTTTGTTTTCTGTTTGGGGCCAGGAGCTATTTCACTTCCATTCAGCTGCTTATGATCTATAAGGCACCGATCCGACCTGTCCTGGAATACCGTTCCCATAATTGCAGTGCAGAACCCAAACATACCCTGAAACTGTTGGATTCTGTCCAAAAAATGGCAATTCGTCTCGTGGGTGATGCCTCGCTCACCAACTCCACTCACTTCTCTGGAACACCGTAGAAAAGTTGGCGATCTGGCTCTATTATATAGATATTTTCATGGACGATGCTCTTCTGGAATATCAACAATTGTTCCTCCTCTGGCAGTTCCCGCGAGATTAACCCGTCGAGTTGAGGCTTCGCATCCCTTCGTGGTCACTCTGGAGACCTGCAGAACATCTCTTTCCAAAGACTCATTCATCCAAAGAACAGCGAGGCTCTGGAACACATTGCCAAGGGAGGTGTTCCCCGGGGCATAAAACCTCCAGAAATTTAAGAAGAACACCAATTTCTACCTTATTACCCTTGGTTCTCTAAACATTACGGGATATACCTTTTCGTGGGAACCAGAACATAAAAAAAATCTGCAAGAACTATGATGCATACAAAAAGTTTGCAAATAAATTTGTGGATTCCAACAGTTTCTTTATTCTATTATGTATTACAGTTAGTTTTTGTATTTGTTAGTTTCCTGACTAGTCCGATAAGTTTATGCATTCTGTAGTATTCACCACACGATGTGTATTCTTTTGTGATGAATACATGATTTCTGATATCTCTGTGACCTTACATTGCGCTTCTATGGGCCCCTCCGTGTACGCAGGCTGCGGCTGCTGCGTCACCAGCTGGGCAGGCGGCGTGGGGTCCACACAAGCAGTGCCGCAGCCGGTGGAGCAGCACTTCAGGTGCAACGTGCAGTCGGCGTCGGTCCGGCACTCCTCCTCACAGTTGTTGTCGTTGATCTCCAGGTTGGGACACGAGCCAGGTTTCACGCCTATAGAGGCAATTACGAATATTCAGAGGAAGAAAGTGATTGCCAAATGATATCTTTGAAGTTTACCAACAATCGTTTCAGGTATAGTCTATCTCATCTTAGAGTCACCGTATGGTATTAGTTAGAGTTCCTAAATGTACTTATTGACACTGCTGTTTTGACGTTTTTTTATATTAGAGTACGAACACTATGAAAAGCACTGACAATCAGACATAACCACAAATGAATTGATGGAAAGAGCGGGAACTGACCGTACACGGAAGTACATGACATAAATTTCAGGTTTGACAAATAAGGCATTCCAGAACACGTGACTTCTGACAAATTTCGAATGGCCGCCTGTAGGCACACAAGTATATTTTGTTGATTTACGTAGCAGCAGTATACTCTTTGGTAGATATATTGAATAATAATAATGGCTGTTTTGAATAAAAGTGGATATTTATTATCCTTGGACCGCTATAACGAAGATATTGCGACACGAAAGTATGTGTGCCTACAGTCGGCCATATTGATTTAGATGGTTTGACAGCATCTTGGATAGGTCAATTGAGAGAATTAGGAGAAAGATGCAAGTTTGTGCAGTTTTCAACTGTGGGAACACGGGAAATCAATTCCCTCTATTCGAATTTCTATCGGATAACGTAATTCTACAAAAATGGAAACAGAATATGATGCGGCCGGCATGGAATATAGGTTCAGGCCACAAAATTTGCGAGGTATTCAAATTTCTTGGTAGGATATAGAGCATTTTTCAACCCATTTTTATCAGGTACCCTTCAGAGCGGAAGATTTGATGTTGAAGAATAGGATCGTATTGAGAGGAAGAGCCGAACCCACTATTTATAAACTGAGCGAGTATCGAAAAGAACCTTATTCGACACCTTATTCCAATTTAGAACCAACAAAAAACGAAAAACTTGCAGATAATGAAATTCATTTCGAACATATTTCGAAAGAAAAAGACGAGAAATATTAAAAATCCAAGGTTTACGAGTGAAAGAGAGTGAGGACTTCAGGAAAGAAAAAAATAGAGAGTTGGAAAATAAGTTGAAGCTTTATATAATCAAGGGTTAAAGCAAGAAGATTTATATACAAAAGTCAGAGTTAGCAAAATTCAGAACTATTACCTAAAAATTATTTCAGATTTGAAACAAAATCAGCAAATATCTTCAAACCAATAATCCCCTTCAGCAATGTGAACGGCGATCTATAGTGAGTCGAGCGCAGATGAAATCCATTCGTACCTGTAAACGTATGTCTTGGAGAACCTTATTATTTATCCTAACTAAAATCAGCTGTTATACCTCTACCACTCTTGTACAAGTGAAATTGTTCCGTATGAAGTAAAAGTATGTTTCATTGGTTGAAATTTATCTGTTTTTACCCCATTCTGAACTTTTGTGTTGAACAAATATTCAATTACCTAAATAGAAGAGACTCCTTTTATATGAATAGTATGTGTATTTAGTTGGTATATATCTACATACCAACTTGATATCGACCTCCAT